CCGAGGGAATGCTTCTTCACATTTTCATACTGTTTAATTTAATTCCAGGAACACGCAGGACACAACCACAATGGGAGTGTTTGGTCTGTTGCACGTGTTACCACCAGGTGTCGCCATAGCACATGTGCACCGTGTTGCTTTCATTGTAGGAATTATTCATTTACTAAACTCCAAAGATTGTTATTTCAGCTAATGCTTTCATGCAACTAAACAACCCAAAGCACATTATGAAGATTAAAGAAGTGAAGGATGCGATGTTGTATAAGAAAATCATTTAATTAGGAACCATGATTGTGAAGACATTCCCCCCACTTTGCCATGGACTTTGTGTAAGAGGGGAAGCCAGGTGCTTGGCCTTTTGGGCACAGAGTACATAATATACCCCCATTATGATTTGAGTGATGTAGGTATAAAATGCGCTATCATCGCTGTCAGGGGTTCATGGAGTCGGTAGCAATAAATAAAACACGGTTTCGTCCTAGCCACCCTCACAACTGCTGCTATATTCAAGTCCCTTGTCGCAGCCAGTGTGTCAATCGTGGTGTTGAGGACCTTTTCTTGTTCAATGATGCACTACTTTACTTAGCATGCTGTCCTTTTCCTGATAACAAGTTCAAAGTATGTGAGATTAAGTCTCACATCCTCGCTTGTAAGGACCATTTTGCTCGAAGACCCTTGTTATTGCTATTGCTAAGATTAAATTTGAAAATGGCCTGCCACACAAAATGAGAGGGCCATTTGGCACTCTAGTTTCTGACTTGCTTCTTCAGATCTCACTTTTGCTCCTGGAACATTCTGGGCAAGTGGTTTGGCTCTGTCTTTCTCACTTGAATTGTTAATGAATCAGTAATGTCTTAGGAATGATATAAACCTTCGATGTAGCTATGGTTTCCATCAAATTGTTCCAGATTACATGAAGTCAATATGCCTCTCCTAGGGTTTGAAGACAGCGGACATTCTGGAGAATGTGATACTGAAAAATAAGCATTTATTATGGGTTGCATATGAACTTTGGTTACTGTGGTAAACAGGGCTTGGTAGAGTGTATTTGGCCTCATTTCTACACTTGCAGCCATGGCATGGAAAACTAGCCCTATTAAGGAAGATCTCCATTGATCTGAGATAAAAAATATTTTCAAACACACGTTCTCCAGGCTGAAAATGTGCCCCCACCCCACTTCACCCCCACTAGCCTTTCCTTAGGAGCGGTGGTAAAGGAGCTGCTACCATTAAAGATGAATCATTCCCATCTGGCTACTTCACTATGCCTGAAGGTTATCTGTAGACAAGAACAGTCAGGTTCTA